ATACAGACTATAACAAAGATAATAAAATAAACTTTTCCTGAAGGACCAAAAGACCTAAATACATGGAAAAACAAACCATTTTTCTAGCTGCAAAGTATTATGAAACTATAAATCCTCCTCCAGCTTAATTGATAAATACAATGTAATCCCAATTAAAATTCCAACAGGACTTGACAAGCTGATTCTAAAGTTGTTTTTTTTGTTGTTGTTGTTGTTTTTAAGATTTTATTTATTTATTTGACAGATAGAGAGAGAGAGAGGGAGAGGGAACACAAGCGGGGGAGTGAGAGAGAGAGAAGCAGGCTTCCCGCCGAGCAGAGAGCCCGATGCGGGGCTCGATCCCAGGACCCTGGGATCATGACCTGAGCCGAAGGCAGACGCTTAACGACTGAGCCACCCAGGTGCCCCAAGCTGATTCTAAAGTTTATCTGAAGGGGAAAATGTACAAAGAACAGCTAAGAGAATCAAAATAAAACAGAAAAAAAATGGGTCTCCGTTACACAAGACAACAAAATAGTTTACCAAGCTACAATAATTTAAAAGTGTGCTATTGGTAAAGGAATGGCAAATCTGTCAATATGGAAACAGGAAAATTAGCGTCTGATAACTGGTTGTACAAATCACAGTGAGGATTGAGGCCACCGGGACATTTAGAAAACATGTTATAACTTTACATTATACCTTACATAAAAATAAATCCCAAACACATTCAGATATAAATGTAAAAAGGCAAAACCATAAAAGTAATATAGATTATAAGACAGATATTTGTATATTCTTAACTTGTAGAAGCCTTTCCTGTGCAAGATTAAAAGTGAACAGGATATACATGACAAATTTGACTCCAAAAACATTTAAATTTCTTCATGTAAGAATACATGATAAACCTGACGTCCAAAACTGGAGGCTCACAATGCCGGTGTTGTCCTACGATTTGTTCAGTCTGCAAGGTTTTTGTTATTGTTGATGTTGGTTTTTTCAATGCAGTAAATTGCCAGCCTTTAAAAATCAGGGCATCTGGCTGTCTGGCAATGCCATTCCTCACTTCTAGGGGGCAGCAACGAGCTGTGGCTGAGAGAGGAGGGGCCCTCTTGTGGTGGGGCGGTAGCTCTCTGCTTCATCATCACTCCAACCCACCCCTCTACTCATTGACTTCACCAGCCTGGTCACTTTAGGGATTTCATTTTTGAGGCCTTCCAGTAAAATAAAGGCGGGGGAAACAGTGCAACACTGCCTAAGAGACAAGAGATTAATTCTACATATGTAAATAGAATTTTTAAAAAGAATATGAAAAAGATAAACCAATTTTCTTTTTCATTGGCAAAGGCCACTTATAAAATATATACAAAAGGCCAATAGACATCTGAGAGGAAAAATTTCTCTTCCAAGCAGAAAGAGTCACATCAGTGTTTGCCCATTGGATTGGTAAAAATAAAAAATGATGATAATATCTTGTCTTGGCAAGAGTATAGGAACTGGCAAGCTCAGACACTGTTGATAGGAGAGGAAATCTGAACAATGTTTTAATGGGCAATTTGGCAGGAGCTACCAAAATTTAAAACGTATATACACTTTGGCCTACCTATACAGGGATTCCAGGAATTTGCCATATAGGACTACTGATATATGCCTGCTAAGAAAGGCACATATATGCCAAGATGTTCAATATAGCATTTTTTTTTAAGATCTTATTTATTTGAGAGAGAGAGTGAGCGAGTGAGAGAGCACGAGTGGGGGGAGGGGCAGAGGGAAAGGGAGAAGCAGACTCCCTGAGGAGCAGGGAGCCTGACATAGGACTCGATCCCAGGACCCAGGGATCATGACCTGAGCCGACGGCAGATGCTTAAGATGCTTAACCGACTGAGCCACCCAGGCGTCCCAATATAGCATTGTTAAGAATGGCAAATAGAAGCAACTTAAATGCTTATGAATAAGGGAGGGGCTGATTACATTATGGTACAGCCATAGGCTGGAATACTATACAGCTCTTAATGAGAGTGAGACGGCTCTACATTTGTTGATATAGAAAAAACTCTCCAAGTGGAAATATTAATGGTCATAATAATAAGCACAGCCTAATTAACTCTAAGGTAAAAATATATATAAAATGCATACACACCCTTACATGTACATGCATATGTACATTTTTCCCTGCTAACAATTATCAACATACTTATATTTATATAAGTGCACATTTACAACATATATTTACAAATGTATAATATATAAATATATATCAATAGATACACATATCATACACTCTGTGGTTTTTCACGTCATTCGTAATTTTTCTAAGTATGTATTCATGCATTACTTGAATACCTTTTTTTCCCCCAAGGACAGAAAGGATATTCGTATATAGAAAAAGAAAAAAGAAAAAAAGACTACCAAGGATTTGTAAAGAAAGCAAAGGGGACACTGGGTGGCTCAGCTGGTTAAGCATCTGACTCTTGATTTTGGCTCAGGTCATGATGTGTCAGCGTCATGAGATGGAGCCCCGCAACAGGCTCTGTGCTGGACATGGAGCCTGCTTAAGATTCTCTCTCTCTCTCTCTCTCCCTCTGCCCCTCCCCCTTTCTCTAAAAAAAAAAAAGAATTCTGTGAGGTGTTAGAGTTCAAGCTGGATGGGGGGGGAAGCCTATTGAGCACCAGCTGATACAGCTGGAGACATGTGTGTAGAGGTGATAGACAACCTGCTAGGCCTTCCACCCCGAATCTGAGCGCCATCCATAACCACTGAATGGTCTTTGATACTTCAAATTAAAGCTCTTAGAATTTGCTTTAAAAATAACACTTCTGATACCAAATCTTAAACACAGTATCATCTCAGTGGTATAAATAATACACTAAAAAGGGCTTGGAAGAAAACATGCCAACCTGTACATGGTATTGCCTCTGTGAGGGAGGGAATAGGAGTGATAGTCTTTCTGTTTCTTGATTCTTTTCCATTTTTCCACTTTTTTAGAATAATTATGTATTATTTTCATCATCAGAAAAAAAAGAACACTTTCCTGAAGGAATTTTATGTTATAGTAGAAATAAGGCCACTGGTCCCTCCTGGCCTTGGGTAACCGTAAGTCAAGTACGTATGTGTAATGGTCTTCCAATTCCTGTTACGACTTTCTTTGCCTGGTGGTGAGTCCCCCAACTACTTGTTCCACACTTCAGAGTAGGGCCCATGTGGGGGTTGAGATGGATACAAGTGGACCAGAAGAAAAAGTAGTCCTGTCCTTTTGTGGGTCACACTGATTCTTCTCCCAACTTGTGTGTGAATGGCTCCAGGCCATCTTGAGTCCTACCATCTTTCTTTCCTACCATCTCTCCCTGTATCTGCTCTGCTCTTTTTTTCCCCTTCCTTTTCCTTTCCTAGCTCCATTCCCTACTCTCCTTCCCCACCCCTCCTCCTTTTCCTGTCTTCAAGTCACCCAAGGGCATGTTGGGAGGGATTTGAGGATGGGAAGGGAGAAGGTTGGGTGGACTGAAATGTTCTAATTCTGTAGGTGACCACTGCCAGGCTCAAATTTTGGATCAGTGACGAAACTGTCTGGGAAGGAAGGGAGATGCAAAAGAGAGGATACAAAATAAGAAAGGCAATCCGATGTACAATTCTAATGGTTATCTCCTGAGCACAGATTGGGGCCCCAGTGTGGAAAGCTTCAAAGTCAATCACAACAACAAAATCTTCCCAAGACAGCATTACAGGCCACTGCCCAGTGTGTCACTGTAATGAGGATTAGAGCCTAAAAAATAAAAAAGGTAAAAATGAAGGCAAACTTTAAAAAGTTTTTTTTTTTAACGTATCCTTTTAGGAAACCACAGACATCAGACATCTCCCCCCCCCCCCCCCCCCCCCGGGAGAGAGGCAAAAAAAAAAGGGCAGTTCGTCTCAAAGCACAATACCTGCAAGGAGACTACTCAGCTAGTTGACCTCACAGGGACCACTTCTTCCTCGCAAGTTCTCCGTTCCTTGGGAACTTTGCCAGAGTCAAGGCCAGCGACACTCCTGAAGATGTCATTCCCACCTCAGCACAACCTCCTGTGACTGCCCAGTAAGCGCCAGGGGAGTGAATTAACTAATGAGCAAGTGAACGAATGGGAACGGGAAAGAAGCAGCACGGCTGGGTGCTTACCTCTTCTGGTTCATGGAGGCCACCTGGAGCCACTCGTTGGTGCTGGGGTTGTAGGAGTGCGCAGCCGAGATCTCCTGGCTAGTGATCCTATACCCGCCCACTATGAAGAGGTAGTTGTCCAGGATGGCGGACCCGTAACCCCTGACGTTCACCAGGTCGGGAGGAAGGTTGTTGGCCAGCGGGAACCAACGTTCAGTCATCTCCTCATACCTGAGCATGGACGGGGGCTCCCCTTGGTAGGGGTGAGGGGCCAGGGGTCCCCCCAAGAAATCCCCCAGGGCTACGAGGACGGGAGTCCCGGCCATCCGGGCCTCTCTCAGCCTCTGCTTCAGGCTGACATCGCCGGGGGCTTGAGGAGGAGCCCCCAGGAGGTGGAACTGGGGCTTGCACAGCACCTCGTGGAAGTGGACCACCATGAAGCGCAGGCAGGCCTCCTGCAGGTCGGGCAGTCCGTACACCTGCGCCAGGCGGTACAGCTCCAGGCAGTTGGTGAGCCGCACCTGGGACAGCAGCAGCTGCAGCAGAGACGTGACCTGCAGGAAGGAGGCCGCTTCCACCAGCTCCGCCAGCAGGCTCACCTCGTCCATCTCCTCTTCGTCCTCCAGCCCACCGCCCTTCTCCGCCCGCGGGCCCAGGAGCCAGCCTTCGCGGGCCCCGCCGGCGTTGATGAAGTCCAGCACCAGGCGCAGGCCCGGGGCGCTGAGGCCGCGCAGCTGCTGCACCTCGGGGCCGCCGGCCTCCTGGCTCAGGGCCTCGCGCATGCCGGAGCGGTAGAGGGCGCGGAAGTAGTCGCTCTGCTCGATGAGCTTCCTCTTGCTCACCGGGTAGCAGCGGTCCTCCAGGCGGATCTGCACCATCTCCTCGGCCGACATGGCTGGGGGCCCGGGGGCCGCGGGCGTGCCCGCCAGCTCTGCGCGCTCGCCTCCCCGCCCCCACGCGCTCGCCGGGTTCCGGGTTGCGCGCGCCGAGGGACGGCGCCGCCGAGGAGGAGGGGGGCGACGGGCCGCCGCCCGCTCCCGCGTTCGCCCAGCCTATCTGGGTCGCGGCGGCGCCCCCGGCGCAGCCCCTCCTCCGGGTGCCGGGCGCGGCGGCTCAGCCTCGCTCCCCCAGAGCGGCGGCCCTGCCCGTCCGCTCCCGCTCAGCGCCGAAAGAGGCCCGGCGGGCGCGCGCCGGGCGTCGGGAGGCGGCCGCCGTCCTCGCTCGGGGTCTGGGGCCGCGTCAGCCGCCGAGGGGATCCCAGCCCCCAGCCTGCGGCCCCCTCCCACGCCTCGCCTCTCACTTCCGCCCGCAGGACCCCTGCTGCCCGCCAGACCCGCGAGCCGGATCCGGCTTTGGGCTCTCGGGAGGGCAGGAGGGCTGCGGGCCCCGGCGCCCGGGCCGCGGCCGCGTCCCCGCAAGCCTCCCCCGCGCGCCGGGCGCAGCGGCTCTGCGGCCTGCGGGGTGCGCGGCGACGCGCCGAGGGTGGAGGAGGGGACGGGAGACGAGGTGAAGCCAGTCCGCTCTTTCTTCCACGCTGCTTTACAAGCGCGGGGAGCGAGAGAAGAAGAAACAGGCGTGGGGGGGACCGGGATGAAGGGAGTCTGGGGTCCTGGGAGTCAAAATGACATCGCATCTGGGATCGCCCATCTAGCCCAGTCCGGCATAGTGTCCCAGGGGGGATGAGGCACGTAGGCCGTCTCTGCCCACGCAGGTGACACCTAGAGCTGATTCTTCGCCATGGTCAGCGTGTGGGAGCCATCTTGCAGAAAGAAGGTCCGGGCAGATGGCAGCAGGTTCTGCAGGGCTCACTGGGGTGCACAGTACAGCAGATGAAAAGGGTCGGGAAGCAGAGGAGCTTGTATTTGCTGCTAGGGCCTGTTAATCCTCTTTATGCTATTGAAAGAAAGACAGGAGTGCAACTCAATTTAAGTTACTTCAGTTTGGTTGGGCCAGCCACGACCTAACGTGATCCTTTGGGCAGAAGGTCTGGCCGCTTTTGGTCATACTGGCCTACAGACGTGGCTTTTCTTGCCACCCTGTGTTCCCCTGCCCATGCCCTCTGCCGGCTGAGGACTACTTAAGGAGGGACCACTTCTTCCCGGTCTTCTCTCACTGAACGTTGCAAAGAAATGCATAGAAAGCTCACCCCAAATAATGAGGACCTCGTGTTACTCATGAGATATGAATTAATCTTAGAAGGGGGTGAGGGGGATACTGTTAGGTTAGCTTTGGGTAGATGGAGGGATAAGGATTGGGAGGGAGCCGGCACTTATCCTACAAAAAACCCTTGAAAATTTCCCCAGACCAAGATTCTTCTATCATAGTCCTGAACTTGGGGAGAAGATGTGTTTGGGCTTTATTTTTATTATTACAAGCTTCAGCTGTCTTCTTGAATGGCAAGTTGTTAAATGACACCTTCTTCTTAAGTACATTTCCACTTTTTGAAACAAGATACCTCCTACAATACTGATTAACGTTTTACTTGAGGAAGGGGGAACGGTTAAAAACCAGAGAAGAAAGTCATCTTGGTAAAGCATGAAATCCGTTCAGCACCTTTTTGGTTAATTTGTGCTTTTCACTACGTAACTTAGCTGCCTCATTGTGAGGTGTTGTCCTCCATTATTTTCTTTATAAAACACCATGAATAAGGAACTAAAGTTTTAAAGACATAGGAAAAAATCCTAGTAGATTCTGACCTCCCTGGGAAAAGTGAAGGAGACAAGGATGGATCTATGATCTGCTTCATTCATCTATTTTTCTTTTTAATTCTGTGAACAACTTTTAGCTTTTCGCCTTGTTTCACTTGGCCTTTAAATCATTACTGATAAAACTCCATTCTCAACCAATTTCTCACACTTCTGTTTTCAATAAGGGTGCAGTCAAGACATTCTGAAGTTCTTAGGTGGGGAGTGACCAAGAATCTAGCAACCTCTTTAGGAAAGTAGTGCCACCCCCAGTATTAGGCCTTACGCTGGGGAATTTTGCTGGAGGGCACACCCTCCATCAAAGAGAGAGGCTCGGACTTGGGATTTATTTGTGCCTCCGTTCGCAACAATGCCAGATTCAGTGGGTCAGCCAAGAACAGGCTCTTAGTCTCTTCTCTGTCCTTTTAGAATCTTTCACCAATGGATGCTTTTGTTTCCAAACGTCATAGATATGCCTCAGACTGGTATTTTCTTGCCTTCTAAAAACAGACCCAAAAAATCACACTCAAAGAATGATGCACATCCAAAAGGCAATTCACACACAGTAATATTATCAGAGTAAGATTAGCTTGGGCAGGGAATCTGGGGTGTGAGTCTGACAATACCGGGCACTGAACCTGTAAGCTTTTTCGGCCCTGATATGATAATAAGGTCATCTAGGATTGGAAGTATCTTAAAAGATCAAACCACTTTTGTAACTCACACAGTAAGCTTTCTGTTCAGCTAGGAATGCAAAGTCAAAGCAATATAAACTCATTTACGAAAGATCTAAAGCATTATTTCTAAGCCTCATGAAAATATTGCTTATATGTAACTGGTGGTATAATTTTATAGATCTGTTATTGACTGAACAATGAATAATAAAGACTGGCTTTTGTGGTGCTATGACTCACTTCAGACACTTTATATTATGATCTTTCTACAAAAGACTACAGTAAGAGTCAGACATAGGCCGTTTCTTTAAGAATTTATGGAAAATACATCTTGTGACCGAGAATGAAAAATAAATATTTAAGTACAAGATGTTTATCACAGTGTTGCTTTTAATAATAAAAAAATGGAACACAATGTCTAACAGTAATAGTAGCTAACATTTATTGAAGGTTTATTATATGCCAGGCACCACTGGCAGTGGTTTTCATGGATTACAGTATTTTTTTTATTCTGTTTTACAGCTGAGGAAGCTGAAGTGCAGAGTAAATTTTGGTACATGTGTAGAATGAAATACCGTAGAGCCTTTACAACTTTGGATATACATGTAGATCTTTCTTTAGAAACCCTGAAAAATATAATTTTACACCGGATTTTTATTTTTTATTTTTTATTTTTTTTTTTAAAGATTTTATTTATTTATTTGAGAGAGAGAATGAGATAGAGAGAGCATGAGAGGGGGGAGGGTCAGAGGGAGAAGCAGACTCCCTGCCGAGCAGGGAGCCCGATGCGGGACTCCAGGATCATGACCTGAGCCGAAGGCAGTCGCTTAACCAACTGAGCCACCCAGGCGCCCCTACACCGGATTTTTAAAAAACAGTGTCTGGAGAGGCATCTGGGTGGCATTGTCGGTTAAGCATCAGACTCTTGGTTTCAGGTCAGGTTGTGATCTCAGGGTCATGGGATCGAACCCCAAGTGGGTTCTGTGCTCAGTGTGGAGTCAGCTTGAGATTCTTTCTCCCTCTGCCCTCCCACTCATGTTCTCTGTCTCTAAAATAAATAAATAAATCTTTAAAAAACAGTTTCTGGAACACTATGAATCCATTTATGTAAAATGGTATATATGTATCTATTTTTTATAGAGATGTCTAGAAGGATGTTAACGAAAGTGTTAAGACTATAGGACTGTACGGGCCTCTGGGTGGCTCAGTCATTAAGCATCTGCCTTCGGCTCAGGTCATGGTCCCAGGGTCCTGGGACTGAGCCCCGCATCGGGCTCCCTGCTCAGCGGGAAGCCTGCTTCTCCCTCTCCCACTCCCCCTGCTTCTGTTCCCTCTCTTGCTGTGTCTCTGTCAAATAAATAAATAAAATCTTAAAAAAAAAAAGACTATAGGACTGTAGTTTTTATTTCTTTTTGTACTTTTCTGTACAGTTTGGATTTTTAAAGTGAAATATACATCAATTTAATAAAAAGCAAAACATTTTAAGAAAAATTATTTCCTTTCCTTTTTTAACAAGCAAAACTGAAATATTTTCCTTTCATGAAAGCATATGGGACAATTTAAATGAGTTTAAAGTAGCACAGTTCTTTAAAAATGGCTCAGAGGCGCCTGGGTGGTTCTCAGTGGGTTGAATATCCAACTTTTGGCTTCGGCTCAGGTCATGATCTCTGGGTTGGGACAGGAGATCCAACCCCCTTCCACTTTACACCCCCCCACCCAGGTCAGGCCCCGGCTCAGCAGGGAGTCTGTTTTTCCTCTCCCTCTTTCTCCCCTCCACCCCATGTGTGCATTCTCCCTCTCAAATAGATACATCTTTAAAAAAATAAAATGGCTCATACTTAATTCAGATTGAGCATCTTCATGTAAGCAAAACTTCCATTTTCTTTCAGTCAGTGTTACGTCAGTGTTTTCCAAACATCTTAGTAAATCACCTGGGACACTTACAAGAATTCTGGTTCCCACACTAGAGCAACTGATTCAGGCTCTTGGAAGAGAAGAGAGATTTTAAGGTAAGAATCCAATTTGTAAACTCCTCTCAGGAGCAGCCAGTTGGAAATACGTACAATATATCACTGCATTGCAACAGTGTAACAGTTCTGAGTATTTGATAAAATCTATACAAAGGCTATATAGCAATTTTTTATTCAGAGTTGGAATTGCTTTCTGGTTTCTGCAATTTCATCTCACTTGGACAAGTTTTGAGACTAGGTGTTTCTGGGCCACAAATCTCAGCCCGTTGTGGATTCCTCCCTCTGCCCCTGCAGTCCAGTTTCTATCTCTCCTTTTCAAAATACTTGGCTCCAGGAAGTTCCTGGTTTCCAGACTGAATGTTTATGCAATCGCCCAAAAAAATTGTTTTAAAAATTTTAAAGCATGCTTTTACATCGGAACTTGGAGATTCTTTAAAGTGCAACTTTGATCTTTACTTGAACACCATTTGACAGCAAAAGGATTAAGCAATTGTGGGTTGTTCCATTATCCCTGCAGGATACATGAGAACTTCAAGGAATTATATATCACAGGAAAGAAACGCATTTACTGTGATTGAAAAACACGGAGGTTAGAAGGTTAGAAAGCCGACTTTTCGGTTTATGTCCCCAGGGCATGAACTAATCGCAATATCTATGGAACCTCACTGAGAAACAGGGAGTAATCTTTTGTTCCTCACCTGTTGCTTGCTTTGCCATTAGGAAACCTCTCTTCCCTCTCCCCTTGGAACAGATAGAATAGTCTGATTATTTGCAGGTAAGCAACTGAAACTTGCTTTCTATGAGAAGTTCAATAGAATAACATATTTATCATTTTTAGTGTATTTTATGTGGCTTATGCAAGGTTAGGAGTTAATCCATGTTATAATTTTTGCTTAGGAGAAAGTAAAATGTTTTGTTTTTAAAGTTATTCAGCCTTTTGAATATTTTCTTATTATTGATTAAATCATATGTCTCTAAAAATCAAAGGGTATGTGATAGGCTATTATTATGAAACAGGTGGGGAAATGAAAATTCAAAGAATTTTGAATCCAAAAAATGTTAACATTTTTGTGTCAAATGAATGAGTCATTGTGCAAAAGGTATGAAAGAAACCCAGATCACAGGTTAGAAAAAACTTCATCATTTTTAAAATTTTTTTGAAAAGAGCAGTTCAGCCGTACTCTATGCCAAAAGCTGATTTTCACTTATGCTTGCTCTAAAAATGGGTACAAAAAAGCAACAGTTTCATGCTTTGAACTAATTTGTCATCTTGGACATCATCATGGCATATAGAAATGACAATCTTCACAAAAGTGAGAGGCCATTTTTGCTTCCTTTAGTATCTTTTCAAATGTTTGGCATTGCAATTGAAGTGATTTTATTAATATTTAGAAATTTAAAACCATTTCATCATTTCCCTAATACACGTTTCTTAGCAACTATTTCTGCTTCAGTCAGAGATACTATGTCTTTTTGTATATGCTTCACAAAGAAGTATCCTTTATAACTTGCAAACATGAATCTCAGAAAACAGATTAGATAGCACCCATTTTGAACTTCTTCACAATTTTCACTGTAATGCTTTTCATTTGCTCTTCTTAAAGAAAGCCTGTGGCTGGCCTTTTGGGGCGGGGGGTGGGGGGAAGAAAAGTGCCTGGCTCCAGGAAGTGACCAGGATCCATATATCCACATTCAATGTTTTCAAAATCACTGCAAAATTAAAATGTAACTTTTTTTAAATTTTCAGTTTTCATTTACTTTCAAGGTTTTTTTGTGGTTATTTTGTTCAGTTTAGTAAAAACAAAAAATTTAAACTAGTGCACAAACTGGTTTTCTGGTGAATGTAAATACCAGAACTTAAATACACAGGGAAAAAAAAAAAAAGACAATTTAAAAAAATCTGCAGTCACAGGTTCCTTTGAAACCATACATCAGTCCCCTTACAAAACCATGTCTTGTTTCTGGTGAAATGGATCCTTCCTTTATCTGATGTCAAGTGACTAAATTATTGTTTTCCTCAGAAAGACTCTTGGCTAGGGTTTCCACTTGTCTTTATATTTACTTAGTAAGAGGTGTCTGTGACTATTCACTTTCAGAAAAAGAAGAAAAACAGAGGAGAGAATCTGTGTCTTCAAGAGGGTAAGGGACAGAGTATCAAAATGGCCTGGAAAATGTTCAACATTAACGTCAGAAAGTCAAATGTTCACCTAGGGCTCAGCTGGGAAGAAACAAAAGAAAAATCACTATGCAGTCAAAGAATGGCTTCATTTTTCTAGAAGGTGACCCTCCAGGAGAGTCCCTTAGCAACAGTCTCGAAGTTCCAGAAACTGTCCTAAACCCTGATGGTCAGCTTCGGCGTCTGTCTGGAACTTGAACTTCTTGCCCGGTCTTTCTACCAGGGAAATGCATATCGTGGTGGTGGCAACAGCCTTGATACTGCTCCTAAGCATGGGGTGGACCTCAGACTCTCTCTGCTCACCCACCATTTTTTACAGAGACTGTTGGATCCGTCGCTTCCCAGGGCTTCTGATTGACCTGGAGGAGTCTCAGAAGCTGGGAGCTCAGTTCCTGAAGTATTATTCTGAAAGCACAGGCCAGAAATGCAGCAGGAGCTGCTGCCTTAGGAAGGATGGTAAGTATTAATGATATGCCTGCGCAAAAATCAGGAGAAACTTATAAAATGAAGATCTAAGTAAGGAGCCCTAGGCAGAGGTTCCAGTGAACAAACAGATGAACAGGACTAGGGAAGGTGAGGGAGAGACATGGGGATGGGGGAGAGCGGGAGAGAGATTGAGACTGACTTTGCTGTTTGGGTCAGTGCTGGCTCAGTTTACAAATCTGGTAATGATCCAGAATGCCATGGAACCCACAGGTAACAGAGAATCTTCTTTTCTTCACTAAAGTGCTAAATGAAACTATTTCCTCAATGGTTAACTAACAATATTTCCATAGCCCCCAAATATGGCATCTTTGATTTCAAAAATATTTATAATAATTTCCTTTTCAAAGTTCTTTTGGTGATATTGGTATTTCAAATTTTTGAAATGTGCTTGCTTGTGTTGAGCAAATGCGGGTTGCACTGAGCAGGAATTTTGATTGTGACTGATGTTTTGAAAGACATAGGTAGCTATATGTCAAATAGCAAAAAAAAAAAAGAAAAGAAATATATATATTAAATATTCTGATTTTTTTTGTCCAAAATCCAGAATCAGAGCATCATCCATGTAATATGATCAAGGCTTATAATGAGGAAAACATTTCATTATTGCAGAATTTCCAGTTACAATCGTCTAAAGACTTCTTTCATTTGTTTTTCATTTTTCCAAGACTTTAAAGCTACTTGGAAAGAAACAGCAAAAGCAACACAACACTTTAAAATAATTCCCTTGGTTCTTCCATACTTTCTTTCCGTGGTTTGATACCAACTTATTAATTGCCAGTGCCTCCTATCCAAGTCTGCATGGAAGATTTCTGGGATGCAGATTGAGGCTACCGGAGGGTGTAAACCGACCACAGTGTGAGAAGCTGCCCCAGGCTAAGCCCTCAAAAGTTAATCAGGCACACAAGAAAACAATTAATTTATTAAAGGGAAATCTTTTTTTTTTAAGAATTTATTTATTTATTTGAGAGAGAGAGAGAGCACAACAGAGCACACAAGCAGGGGGAGCGGCAAAGGGAAAGGAGAAGCAGACTCCCCTTTGAGCAGGGAGCCCAATGTGGGGCTCGATCTCAGGACCCTGGGATCATGACCTGAGCCGAAGGCAGAGGCTTAACTGACTGAGCCACCCAGGTGCCCCTAAAGGGGAATCTTTTTGAAAAGGTTGCCAATCCAGATTTTCACCTTAGAGATGCTTCTAATTCCCATAAGCCTTGAGGAAGGTGGGTGGGTGGGGGGATATCTTTCAGCATTTTCCCATGGCATCAATTTACCTGACTGTCCATCGCAGGGAAACTTTGTTCTCTCGACTTCCAGGGATACTATAAGCATCCAGTAGAATTCCATGATTTTAGAGCCTCTGTAGCTTCCAAGTTGTGGTTTTTTTCCTCCAAAAGAAAGGGCACGAACACACGTCTCTGTTTTTAGCTGGAAGCCAGAACTTTAAAAAGCCACAGTCCTGCAATAGCTAACCTGTTCGGAACTGGAACTCTAAAGTGTACACAAAGAGGAATATAAAACATCTTTTAAAATTGCTCTCTTTACAGCATCAATTATTTTCTTATCAAAAATTTAGATGTCTAAATTTGAATATTTTTTAGTCCTTTCCCTTGAACTTGACAGCCCAGTCTTTAGGGAATGCATTTGTAATCTAAAATGTATTAGCAATGTATTATTGAATTCTGCCCTCTTCTTTATCCTCCTGGATGCCCCAGAAGTAACGGGGTGGGGGGGGATGAAGCTCCCCACAGTTAACCTTACACAGAGGCAGCAAAGGTTTTGCCAATGGCAATTCCACAACAGCTTTAGGCATACTCTGAGGTCTAGTAATTGTATGCTATTCCTCTGTAATCTTATTTTATTAAAGAAGTTGATACCTTTGGTCAATGGATATTTCCCAGTGCATGGTCCCTACTACACTGCAGCAGGAGGAAAGCCTGTTTTGCACTTTGGGGAGGACAGACTGAAGACTGGCACTCAGCAAATCACTCTTCAGGTTTTCCAGAAATAACATCGTCCGTTTTATGGAGCAAACTTATTTAGTAGAAGGGGGATAGCATCAGTGATGTACCCCTACCCATTAGAATTCCAAATGCTCACATCCTTGTCAGTAGACTCTCTTCCTCTTTAAAGGACTCTGAATAGGCTTTTCATTGGATGTGATTTGCAACATGGGACTAGTGTTCCCCTATAATCAGGATCAGGGTAGTGTTCACCTGGCCTGCTGCCTTTCCACCATCTGGGCCTCTCCCAGTAATTGCAGTTTTTGCCTTCCCATGACTCCCTCTTTTGTTACAACATCTGTCACTTTATTTTCTTATTTCTTTCTCTGGTGAACTCCAGTGCCTTAGCATTCTGAGAGGGCACTGCAACAATAAATCTGATAAGCCCGAGGGGCTTCTGTAGCCAATTGAACTTTTCATGAACATAAAATACTGGGATTGGAAAATGATTCCGGGTAATCCTGTGTGGAATGGAATGTGTGAAAGGTTAGAGAAAATCAGTGGATAGTTTCTTTTAAAAGGGCATTTTCCATATTCGGGGAAACCAGTTACTGTAGTTCACAATGTTCTGTAAGGTGTCTGGACATAGCCCTGCAATATACTGCTGTTAATCCAATGTTCTTGAAAGAAATATAAGTTACTCAGAGCTCATCAAGCTGGGAGAAACCAAAACCATCTGCAGATGCACTTTTCCTTTCAGTTTCCTGTAACGTGGCTGTCTTCTACCATGATCCTATTCATGACAATGTCAACTGCCTCCATATTCACTGCCCCACGCTGGAGAGCTGCATATTAGAGCCCGGAACCAGTGCCATTTTATACAACATAACAGAAGGTAATGATTTATGTATTTTGTATTTATGTTGAAGAATGTTGGTAATGCTCTAGTAGAGATGTATAACCCTAGAAACTGGCTGGCAACAACCTGAATCATTATTTTCCAGCAATCTCTATCTGGAAAAGGTTTGGGCATCCAGGGCAGAAAACTAAAAGTAAATTCGCTTTAGTTTGGCATGCTCGGGAATGATGAGTTCATTCCAGATGGTAACAAATCGTATGTGATTGAGGAAGAGCTTAAGCATTACATTTATTCCAGGAGCCCCCAGCAAGAGCCAAAGAAGGCATTTCTACTGGGGGTGCTAAGGGTGCTACCAGCAATAAAGAAAATGCTTCATGGCAATTTTGAGGTCCATCGACACTGCATACAAGGATTCTACAAAGATGGATGTCAAGGACAAGGAAATGCACTTATGAACATACATTAGCATACCAATGGTCCCAAGATAACCAAGATATCCATTATTTTAGATAAATACACACTCAAGTGTCCCTTGCTCATGTATATAAACTCAGGCTGCAAATTGGTAAACACGAAAGAATAGATTTTTGCCATCCAAATACAAAGGCGATAAATTTCGTCATCGATTTGTACTTACCGAACAGCTAATTCAGGCTGGGAGCAGCACTGCAGAAGATGGCAGCCATATCTCTGCCCTCGAGTTTATTACAATCTAGTTGATGTGACAAATCTCACCATTAGTGTACAATGTGTAACTGAATACCAAAACGTGTGATACTGCCTCAAGTACAAGCACTCAAAAGAAGAGGAGACTAAAGAAAGCTAAATTCAGAGGCAGCTTTGTGGAAGAGGCCTGGCAGAGACAAGATAAGGAGTTCTGTGTCACACCACTGGAAAGTAAGAAAACAGGTCTGGCTACAGAAGGGGCACATTTGGGGTTGCAACGAAAATCTGGGTAAGATAGGGTAGGTCAGGTTACAAAAGGGCTTTGGACAGAGCAGTGTTTTGGTTTGACTTTGTCAGCAAGAGAGAACCAGCAAAGGCATTTAATGAGAAAATGCCATCATGAAAGTGATGAGTGTGGTTGTCTTTAGTCTAGGAAAATTATATGCGGGATGCAAATTAGAATATCTAGTCAGGGAAGCATTAGATCTGGAGAAGGTGACCATAACTGCACATGAACAGGAGGGATGACTACCAGCACTTTGGGAGGGAACTGGATAGGACCTAGTTACTTCTTGGATGAAGGAAAAGAAGAGAGAGGAGTCAACGATTCCTCTATGTACATACAGATTCCAGCATGGATGATGGAAGATTGGTGAGCTCACTGAAAGAGACAGAGAGCCAGACAAAATGATTTTGGCTTTGGGAATGTTCAGTGATGACATGAGATGTCTAGGTGAGAACCCTCCGTAGAGCACAGGAGAAATGAGACCGGAGACCAAGACAGAGGAAATAACTGGTCATGTGGATTTCGGTGTCACTGATGCAGTGGTGACAGTTGATGAGGATTCTCGTGTGTGTGTGGTGAATGGATGAGATGAAGGGAAAATTCAGCAGAAGACAAAGGACTAAAGATTGTGGAAAGCACACAACCAGTTTGGACCAAGGAGAGAACTAGCTAAAGAAAGAAAAAATGAGAAGCAGGCAGTCTGAGGTAAAGTGCCAAGAGAGTCTGTGTTCCAGGGAGTCACGGAGGGGGAATTTTAAGGAAAGGATGGCCAGCAGTATTGAGGATAAAAGAGAAGTCAAAGCAATGAGGTTGAACAGGAAATATGGAAACTAGTGATTACCTCAGAAGCATAATTCTGACAGAATAGCGAGGATGGAACAAGATGGCAGAAGGCAAACAACAAAGAAAGGAAATGGATGTTGGTGTGTCTAGAGGGAGAGAGGGAGAGAGACAGAAACTGACAGGAGAGACAAGTGAAAAGCTGTTGAGAGGTTTTTTCTTCCCCTTTACAGATGGAGCAATGTTTGCCTGTGTCTGAAGTCAGAGGGAAAGGAGTTTCTTTACAAGAGAGAAAATACTGAAGACAAAGTCAGGACCCTCACGGACTGGGATAGGGAGGAGTCGGAGGGCTTTGCTCATGATTTTGAATACAGTTACACTTCTGTATTATTTTTTAAAACTTTAAGATGCTATATATCTCAAATGGTTACTGTCTTTTGCAATTCTTGCACTAACATTGGCTATTGTTGCCCAGGCAGACACAAAGAATCTTCTATGATGTAGCCAAAGTTGTTTATAACAGAAAGTGTTCTAGAAAGTTAAGATAAATTCAAATGTGGTCAGTATGTTTCTAAGCCTTTTCAGAAGTATGCAATAGTAGAATTTGAACTTAAGCTTAGTTCACTAACTCAGTGGCAAACCCAAGGCTTCTCCAACCTGTGCTTTGAGCTTCTCTCATTGAAATAAAAAATAAAATGAATGATGCTTTATTTATCTTTCAGGTATAGATCCAGATTTGCTGGTTTTTGAACAATCACCTCCCACATATCTAAATACCCGTTCTTCATCTAACACATGGGACAGACTAAGGATTTTAAAAGCTACACATTTAGATAAACAACAAACTACCGTGATAAACCAAATGCTACCATCAACAGAGGCACCATCATCAACCCCACATCAAGATTTGGTTGTCAACACAAACAATACCAGGTATTCCAAGGAATTAACCACAGATTCCTGGGCAAGACTCATTTCCCTGAATGACTCCATTACCACAGAGGTAAATATGGTGTCACACAGCACTGATTTCATCAATAACCCAGATAACAAGACTATTTCTCCTTTCTTTGTTCCCATAGACACGAAACTTTTTCATAGGCCTATTCCATCCCAAGTCAACAGTAGCAAGCAATTACTAAACAAAACCAAGGGGTCCAACAGCAGAAACCACACATGTGAGAATGAAGACATGACACCTGAATGGGCATCTGTGACTTCAAAGATGTGGCTGGCTCCGGTGGCCCTCTGTACCTCTGTCATCTTTCTTTGCTGTTGTATAATCATCCTGGCATCTGGATGCTGTAGAAAGCAGCAGGGCCAGTATAAGCCAGGACAGAGAAAGTCAGGATCCAAGCATATTAAAAAATTTAACAGTCTAAAGGAGGACTCTTAATAGCAAAAGTTACAGGGAGATTGTAAACTTTCAAGAGTATCATTTTTAGTTTTCTGTAAGACAAGGGCTCTTTGGTTAAAAAAAAATAATTGCACAGGATTATCACTCCTACCAGTCTCTAAAAAAGGCCAAATGCTTGATAAACTTAAGTGCTTTTTTGGATTATTTCTAGTACCCTTTGCCAAAGTTCCAAAATTCTGACTCCTGCAGTTATTTAGCACTGCATGAGAGATATGCTTCTAAGTGCTGTATATGTATTCATTCATGGATATAATTTTATGAATTAGGTATACTTTTATTAACCATTATAGTATTATTATCACATTGTACAGATGAGGAAAATGAGAAGAGAGAGGCTAAATATCTTCCCTAAAATCACACAGCTAATAAGTAGTGAAGGCAGGACTTAATAGGTAAGCTGATTCAAAAGTTCATGCTTGAAATCAGTTAGATTAAAAGCTTCCATTTTCCCAAAAAGCATGGAAAAAAGATACAGAGAGGAAAACAACATAACATCATATTTATCTCCTGTTAAGGTCAAATTATTGTCATGTATGTTAATAAAACCTTTTAGTGGTTTGGACAGAAGAGCGATATTATTAGAGTTACTAACCCATGTGCAAACGCTGCCTTTTTTTATACAGTTTTAATGTTCAATTGATTAATTCCTTTTAATCCTAAGCCATCTTCATTTTTTTAAAGCTGACATGACTTTAAATAACTCTGGTACTGCAATCTTTGAGTTTTGTGTTATCTCTGTTGAATAAAGCTTGCAAGTTTTAGTTTACATCCCTCACGTGTATGCACTGTTTCCTAGGTGCAAATATTAGCTGTAGGTATTTGAGCTCTGTCCACCCCCACCCTGAAGTGCAGACACTTTAATTCAATCAAGTCTCCAGTGATTTTAAACTTTAGACCCTTAATCTAATCCTTGAAACTCTTTTTAAATGTGAGGACAGATATTAAAAGACAGCCAATAAGCATGAAGAATAGAGAAGAGGAAATCCTATTATAGGATTAATAAAATAGTACTGTTCTCTCATATGTTAAAACAAATTGTCCAGTGGCTTAAGAGGTGTTTCTGTTTCTTTCCCTAGTGTTGATACTTGTGGGAGAAAAAATGTCTATTTCTTTTTTTAACATAAGAAAGAAATATACAAAATATCAGTAGAATATTAGCCACAAATAAAAATCTGAATTTAAAAATTTCATCAATTTACCCTTATTTGCTAGTCATGATATTAAATATCATAAATTTTATCAGTTTCCTTCCTAATTCATTAGGGGGAAAAATGTTCACACTATGTAGGGAGGATATAAAGATTTAAATTATCCTAAAATTATATTTAAGTAAATAATTCAGAAAGGAGCCTTTAAAAATTATTTGTACAGTCTTTTAAAAGATTATTTTTCTTTAAAATATATACAAGTTGCTTAAAGGTTTCCCAAAAAACCAGGGCTGCTAGAAAAAGGCTTTTCTTCCTTGGGGTTTCTCAGAATTTGCTCATTTCCTAAAATTGATAGTTTTATAGAAATGACCATAATTTGAGAAAACATATTTACCTTTGTAAGAAAACAAACTTATACTCCTCTTCTTCAGCCACTACCTGTGACCATCAGATAAACTGAGGACATTTATTCGACTGTAGACACAACCAGACCAGAGTCAGCCAGGAAGCAAAAATTGCCGAGCCTAGAAACCATGCCCTCCCTGGAAGCCACAAGGACCAAAGGAGAACTTCTGAATAGAATTTAAAACTTTCTTAAGAAACAATCAGAGATTCTCAAGGCCCAGTCAACAACCAAGGCCAAGACTGTTACACTCAATTGCAAAGTAGCCATGACACTGAAATCTTCCCAACATTGTAACTGGCCAGACCTCTTTTAAAAAGTCTGTAACTGTCCAGTATTATGAAATACTTACCAATGCTGGGAAGGCTATACGCAAAGAAAGAAAGAACTATAAAGCATGCCGCAATTAAGGGAACAGATTTGTCCTATTTCTTAGTTGCCTACGTGTTTAAGCAACTTCTGAGTTTTGTAATTTTAAGAGTTTGACGTCAGCAGTGAATTTGTATCAATTCAGCAAATACCCCTTAGACTCATTATAAGGATAAATATGATCATGTTCATTGTATATATTGGCTCAATTAATAGTTTAACAGATAAAGATCTGATTAATGAAAAAGAGGGCTATTTATTGCTAAAATTACAATGATCACATCTGCTTTCCATTTGAGGCAGATCTGTATTAATCTTACAGCTCTAAGATTTTGCCGTTAGGTGTCAGTGCTACAGCCTGTCTTCAGGTCAGTTGCCTGGAGATAGCCAAACTGCAAAGACTAGAGGGTACAGTGCTCTACAAGACAAGACACTGAGTTTAAATCTGGAGTGGGGAGGTCTGTCTGAAAACCACCCTCAGGTTTGATAATTCACTAGACTATTTCGCAGAACTCAAGGTAAGCTGTTATACTCATGGTTATGGTTTATCACAGGGAAAGGATATGGATTAAAATCAGCCAAGGGAAGAAACACATAGCATGAAGTCCCAGAGGGTTCCAAAGTCATAGCTTCTGGTGTCTTCTCCCCCTGGAGGCAAGCTGTGTTACTTTTCCTGTACCAGTGTATGATAATACGCCTCGAGTGTTGCCAACCAGGGAAACCTGCCCGAACTTCAACGTTCAAAGATTTTATAGAGGCTCTATTACACGGGTATGACTGAGTGATTACCTGGGTGGTTGATCTCAGCTTGCAGGTGGACTGATCCCAGCTGACCCAGTGCCCCTTGCTCTAAATCATGTGGTTTTTCTGGCATGGCTAAGACTGTTAGGTGTGGCCAGCCCCACCCTAAAATCCATTGTGACTGGCTCTCACCCTAAACAAAGATATTCCTATGAGGTATGACATAGATTACCTCCTAGAAGCTGCAGACAAAGGCCAGACCTCTCTTTGGGCCAGGTCAGATTCTTTATTATACATCATTACTTCCTCTGTTTTCATCTGCCCTGTATTATTACTACAGGACAGATGACACTAATCTACTACCTATTTACATGTTCCCAAATGATCATTTCTCCTCAACCTCTATTTTCGAAATGTTCCTGTCTTCAATCCTGTTTCTGCATCTGAATTTCCCTAAACTCCATGAATCTCTAAGAAATACATCATTTCAACACACATAAAGTATGCTTTAAACGTGATCTAAAAGTTACTTAACTTTGCTTTTCATTTACTATTTCTATGCAGTGGATTACAATGTATCTCTTTTTTCAATCAAGATCATATTATTGTACTTAATAACATACAGATTCTTGGCCTTGCTAATACCAAATCATACCTTCATTTCATATAAATCCTTTGGGTAACTGTTTTCAAATTCTTTCTGGCTTTATGTTCTCTAATTCTGTTAGGCAAAATAAGTCTTAGACAAGTAACAAACTCAATAATTCCTCTATTTTAATTTAACTTAATCACTTACAACTTTGGAAGTGGTAAGAAATAACAGCTATACTTTAAAATACTGAATTGACAGCTAAATTGAATGGAATGTTTCATAGGACAGTTATTTCGTCATTTACTCCAATTAATTTCAAGGTCCTTACAACTCATCTCTTTTCTGAGCTGCAGAAACTCTAACTGGGGAATCTAGAGAGATGAATACCAGTTAATCTCCATTTCCACTTTTCTGCAAGCATGGGCTTGTAGAAATGAGCCCCAGAAAGCAGAAAGGAAGATGCGAAACAGAGTTGAATTAACATAAAGTGAAACCAAAAGAGAGGAATGGAGCAAACTTTTCAGGTTAGAAAATACTTCCAAGAACCTGTTTCTAATCAGAATTGGCATCTGTGAAAAATGCATTGGGTAGACAGCAGTTATGTAAAAAAGCACTGAACTATATTCAGGGGACTGGATTCTTCCCAAATAACCAGTCATTACAGCTGGTCCTGACTTATGACTCAGCTTACGATTTTTTGACTTTACAATGATGTGAAAGCAATAACACATTCTAAGGAAACCACACTTCAAATTTTGAATTTTTATCTTTTCCCAGACTAGTGGTATGTGATGATACATTTTCATGATGCTGGGCAGCGGCAGTCAAAGCTCCTATCCAGCCATGCAATTTAAGGGTAAATAACTGGTATACTGACAACCACTTTGTACCCATAAAACCATTCTTTCACTTTCAGTACAGTATTCAGTAAATTATATGAGATATTCAACACTTCATTATAAAATAGGCTTTTTGTTAGATGATTCTGCCCAACTGCAGGCTAATGTGAAGTGTTCTAAGCATGTTTAAAGTAGGCTGGGCTAAGCTATGATGTTTGGTAGGTTAGGTGTATTAAATGTATTTTCAACTTACAATATTTTCATCTTAAAATGGACTTATTGGGACATAACCACATCATAAGTTGAGGAAGATGTGTATTCAAAAGCAACCAATAGGTGCTAATTTGTAGGGAAAGAAATAAGAGACAAAATAACAATATATGTATATACATGAATATTAAAGTGATGGCAGAAATAAAAACTTTCAAACCAGAAAGAATCACATAGATCTTCTAATTAGTTCTACTGCCACATTGTACAAATAAGAAAACTGTTGAATAATCATTGCTATAATGCATTAATATGAAAAAGTATTTTAAATGTGATGTGGCTTGGGAGTTAACATGGCAGAGGAGGAGAGGACCCTATGTTTGTCTTGTGCCTGGAATTCAGCTAGATAATTATCAAATCATTCTGAACACTTGCAATATCAACTGGAGATGTGATAAAAGAAATGCTGCAATGCTACAAATAGAAAAGCAGCCACTTTTTGGAAGTATTGTTGTCTTTTCTCTCTCTCTCTTTCTTCTATTCTTTTCTGGACATAATGATGAGACGGAGAAACTTAACAGGAGGTAGCACTCACTGCCAGGGATTTAATCAATATGGATATAAGTAACAGGTCTGAACTAGAACTTAAAATGATTATAAAGATACGAGCTGGGTTGGGGTGCCTGGGTGGCTGAGCTGTTAAGCATCTGCCTTCAGCTCAGGTCGTGATCTCAGGGTCCTGGGATGGAGCCCCACATTGGGCTCCCTGCTCGGCAGGAAGCCTGCTTTTCCCTCTCCCACTCCCCCTGCTTGTGTTCCCTCTCTCGCTGTGTCTCTCTCTGTCAAATAAATAAATAAAAATCTTTAAAAAAATTTTAAAAATTTAAAAAAAAAGATACGAGCTGGGTTTGAAAAAAGCATGGAAGATAATAGAGAATCCCTTACTGTAGAAATAAAAGAACTAAAATACAATCAGGCCAAAATTAAAAATGCTATTACTGAAATGCAGTAAAAATGGAGGCTCTAACAGAGATGATAAATGAGGCAGAGGAGAGAGTCAGTGATATAGAAGACAAAATAATGGAAAATAAGAAAGCTGAAGAGAGAAAGACAACTATTGGATCACGAAGGAAGACTTCCAGAAATCAGTGATTCCATAAAGTGAAATAATATCCAGATAATAGGGGGTCCCAGAAGGTGAAGGGGGAAGGAAACAGGCATTCAAGTCCAGGAGGGACAGAGACGCCCCCTCAAAATCAATAAAAAGAGGTCAACACCTTGACATACAATAGTGAAGCTTGCAAATTTCAGAGACAAAGAAAAAACCTGAAAGCAGCTCAGGACAAGAGGTCTGCAACCTACAAGGGTAGAAACATAAAGCTGGCAGCAGAACTGTCCACAGAGACCTGGCAGGCCAGGAAGAAGTGGCATGATATATTCAAGGTAACAAATGAGAAAAATATGCAACCAAGAATACTTTATCCAGCAAGGCTGTCATTCAGAATAGGAGAGATAAAGAGTGTCCAGGTTAGGGGCGCCTGGGTGGCTCAGTTGGTTAAGCGACTGCCTTCGGCTCAGGTCATGATCCTGGAGTCCCTGGATCGAGTCCCGCATCAGGCTCCCTGCTCGGAAGGGAGCCTGCTTCTCCCTCTGACCCTAACCCCTCTCATGTTCTCTCTCTCAAATAAATAAATAAAATCTTTAAAAAAAAAAAAAAAAAGAGTGTCCAGGTTAAACAAATCTAAAGGAATTTGTGATCACTACACCAGCCCTGCAAGAAATATTAAAGGGAATCCTTCAAGGGAAGAGAGAGCCCAAAAGTAACAAACAGCAGAAAGGACAGTGACAATCTACAGAAACAGTGACTTTACAAATAATACAATGGTAACTAACTTCCTATCTTTCACTAATTACTTTGAACATAAATGGACTAAATGTTCCCATTAAAAGACACAGGATATCAGAGTGGATAAAAAACAAGACCCATTGATATGCTGTCTACAAGAGACTCATTTTAGACCCAAAGACACCTCCAAATTGAGAGTGAGGGGGTGGAGCACCATCTATCATGATAACGGACATCAAAAGAAAGCTGGAGTAGCCATCCTTATATCAAACTAGATTTTAAACCAAAGACTGTAATAAGAGATGAAAAAGGACACTCTATCATAATAAAAGGGTCTACCCAACAAGAAGATCTAACAATTGTAAATATTTATGCCCCTAACTTGGAAGCGGCCAATTATACAAACCAATTAATAACAAAATTAAAGAAACACATTGATAATAGTACAATAATAGTAGGGGACTTCAACACCTCCCTCACTGCAATGGGCAGATCATCTAAGCAGATCAACAAGGAAACAAGGTCTTTGAATTACACACCAGACCAGACGGACTTAATAGGTATATTTAGAGCATTTCATCTTAAAGCAACAGAATACACATTCTTCTTGAGTGCACATGGAACATTCTCCAGAGTAGATCACATACTGTGTCAAAAATCAGGTCTCAACTGGTACAGAAAGATCGAGATCATACCATGCATGTTTTCAGACCACAAGGCGTTAAAACTTGAACTCAATCACAAGAGAAAATTTGGAAGGAACACAAATACATGTTGGTTAAAGAGCATCCTACTAAAGAATGAATGGGTCAATCAGGAAATTAAAGAATTCAAAAAATATATGGAAACAAATGAAAATGAAAACAGGACAGTTCAGAACCTTTGGGATGCAGCAAAGGTGGTCCTAAGACGGAAGCATATAGCAATACAAGCCTTTCTCAAGAAACAAGAAAAGTCCCAAGTACACAACCTAACCGTACACTAAAGGAGCTGGAAAAAGAACAGCAAATAAAGCCTAAATCCAGCGAGAGAAGAGAAATAATATAGATTAGGGCAGAAATCAATGAAACAAATTAAAAAAAACAGAACAGATCAACAAAACTAGGAGCTGGTACTTCGAATTAAGAAGATCGATAAACCCCCTAGCCAGACTTATCAAAAAGAAAAGAGAAAGCACCCAATAGAATCATGAATGAAAAAGGAGCGATCACAACCAACACTGAAGAAATACAATTATGAGAGAATATTATGAACAATTATATGCCAACAGATCAGGCAATCTGGAAAAAATGGATGCATTCCTAGAAACATATAAACTACCAAAGCTGAAACAGGAAGAAACAGAAAACCTGAATAGACCCATCACCAGTAAAGAAAATGAATCAGTAATCAAAAATCTCCCAACAAACAAGAGTCCAGGACCGGATGCCTTCCAGGGGAATTTGGTTACCAAACACTTAAAGAAGAATTAATACCTATTCTTCTGAAATTGTTTAAAAAAATAGAAATGGAAGGAAAACTTCCAAACTCGTTCTATGAGGCCAGCATTACCTCGAACCCCCAATCAGACAAAGACCCCAACAAAAAGGAGAACTACAGACCAATATCCCTGATAAACATGGATGCAAAAATTCTCACCAAAATACTAGCCAATAGGATCCAACATTACATTAAAAGGATTATTCACCACAACCAAGTGGGATTTATTCCTGGGCTGCAAGGGTGGTTCAATCATTCACAAATCCATCAGTCAATCAATGTGATACACTACATAAATAAAAGAAAGGACAAGAACCATATGATCCTCTCCATAGATGCAGAAAAAGCATTTGACAAAGTACAGCATCCTTTCTTGATAAAAACTCTCTGCACTGTAGAGATAGAAGGAATGTACCTCAATATCATAAAAGCCATAAACAAAAAACCCACAGCTAATATCCTCAACGAGGAAAAACAGAGCTTGTCCTCTAAGGTCAGAACACAGCAGGGATGTCCACTCTCACCACTATTGCTCAACATAGTACTAGAAGTCCCAGTCTCAGCAATTAGACAACAAAAAGAAATAAAAGGCATTGGAATCGGCAAGGAAGAAGTCAAACTTTCACTCTTCACAGACGACATGATACTCTATGTGGAAAATACTCCACCCCAAAATTGCCAGAATGGATACAGGAATTCTGCAAAGTTGCAGGATATGAGATAAATGCACAGAAGTCAGTTACATTTCTATACACTAACAATGAAGCTGAAGAAAGAGAAATCAAGGAATTGATCCCATTTACAATTGCACCAAAACCCAGAAGAAAGCTAGGAAGAAGCCTAACCAAAGAGGTAAAGGATCTGTACTCTGAAAACGATAGAGCACTTATGAAAAAAACTGAGGAAGACACAAAGAAATGGAAAAACATTCCATGCTCATGGATTGGAAGAATACTGTTAAAATGTCTATGCTACCCAGAGCAATCTGCACATTCAATGCAATCCCTATCAAAATACCATCAACATTTTTCACAAAGCTGGAACAAAACAATCCTAAAATTTGTATGGAACCAGAAAAGACCCTGAATACCCAAGTAATTCTGAAAAAAGAAAACCAAAGCTGGAGGCATCACAATTCTGTCATGTATTACAGCTCTATTACAAAGCTGTAATCATCAAGACAGTATGGTCCTGGCACAAAAACAGACACATACATCAATAGAACAGAATAAGAGAGCCCAGAAATGGACACTCAGCTCTATGATCAACTAATCTTTGACAAAGCAGGAAAGAATATCCAATGGAAAAAAGACCATCTCTTCAACAAATGGTGCTGGGAAAATTGGACAGCCACATGCAGAAGAATGAAACTGGACCACTTCCTTACACCATTCACAAAAATAGACTCAAAACAGGATGAAAGACCTAAATGTGAGATAGGAATCCATCAAAATCCTAGAGGAAAATACAGGCAGCAACCTCTTTGACCTCAGCTGCAACAACTGCTAGACACGTCTCTAAAGGCAAGGGAAACAAAAGCAAAAATGTACTATTGAGACTTCATCAAGATAAAAAGCTTTTGCACAGCAGAGGAAACAGTAGACAAAGCCAAGACAACTGAGAGAATGGGAGAAGATATCTGCAAATGTCTTATCAGATAAAGGGCTAGTATCCAAAATCTATAAAGAACTTATTAAACTCAACACCCAAAAAACAAAAAATCCAGTCAAGAAATAGCCAGAAGGCATGAACAGACATTACTCCAAAGACATACAAATGGCCAACAGACAGTATCAGGGAAATATAAATCAAAACCTCAATGAGATACCACCTCACCCCAGTCAACATGGCTAAAATTAACAAGTCAGGAACAACAGATGTTGGCGAAGATGTAGGGAAAGGGGAACCCTCTTACACTGTTGCTGGGAATGCAAACTGGTGCAGCCGCTGTGGAAAACAGTATGGAGGTTCCTCAAAAAGTTAAAATAGAACTACCCTATGACCCAGCAATTGCATTACTGGGTATTTATCCAAAGGATACAAACACAGTGACCTGAAGGGGCACATGTACCCTAATGTTTATAGCAGCAATGTTCACAACAGCCAAAATATGGAAAAAGCCCAGATGTCCACTGACAGATGAATGGATAAAGAAGATGCTAAGTGAAATAAATCAGTCAGAGAAAGACAAATACCATATGATTTCATTCATATGTGGAATTTAAGAAATAAAACAGGTGAACATAGGGGAAGGAAAGGAAAAATAAAGTAAGATGAAAATTGACAGGGAGGCAAACCATAAGAGACACTGAACTTTAGGGAACAAACTGAGGGTTGCTGGAGGGGAGGGGCGTGGGAGAAGGAAGTAACTGGGTAATGGGTATTAAGGAGGGCAACTGATGGAATGAGCCCTGGGTGTTATATGCAACTGATGAATCACTAAACTCTACATCTGAAACTAATAAAAAAAATTTTAAACATGTGAAACAATAGGTTTTTTTGGCAAATTTTTCAAATTTATATAAAATGAGATAATGATTACAGATATATCATAAAATTAACAAATCAAGGAGATTTTTCTAAATAAATCACGTTAGATTTAATAGTTTCTTCACTGATTCTTTGTACTGAGAAAGGGTATTTTCATTGTCCCCCTCGTTCTTAAGACTAACAACAGACTTTTTGTATTCTTCAACTTCTTTTGTAGCAAGGAGCTCTTCTTTATTTACTTCCAGATTTTTCTCAGCAGCTTTCATTTGGAGAAGTGTTTCCAGGATATTTTTTTCAGAGGAGCTATTGTTCCATACATACTCTTCCATGTCTGCTTCAGTCTTATCTTTCTCCCATTCTTCGGTTTTCTGAAAGGAAAAAATGAGTTCTGAAATCTGAGAAATACTATCCGAAAAAACAAAGTTTTGTTTTTTGTTTTAGGGAAAGAGAATCTGCAAAATGTGGAGAGTCCCTGTCGACACTCTGCATGTAAACTTTGATTTCCCTCCCTTACAGCACTGCTATTCACCTGCACCAACTGTTTCAGGACCCCACACTCTACGATGTGACTACTCTGTTACCACTCACTAATTCTACCCACAGAATTTCTATTTTATCTGCCTTGCAAATTTCACTCACAATCAATACTGTTTCCCAAAAGATACAGAAAACTCATTTTTGCAGCTTTCTAATCCCTAAACTCTAACACATCAACATTTCACATTTCTGAGGTTAAAAATAATAAAGAGTTGAGAAGAGACTGTATTTATCTTTGTAACATGCCTGTGGGGATGACAAGGAACACCAATTATTATAATAAAATAAAAAATATAAAATATATGTGTAATACATGATTTTTAGTCATAATGACTTCATATATTCTGGAATTTTATTTTGTTATTATCCTTATTTTCTGTTCCTTATAATGGAAACAGTTTTTGTTACTACTTGTTTTTTCTTATAAAAATTACTACTATGCTATTCTAGGGAACACTGTTAGGTTTTATAGTAATATAACTCAGATTTATGATTTAGTTGAAGATATAACATTCTGTGAAAAATCAAGGAACACAGTTAATAAATAATATGTCCTGGTTCAATGAAGTGCTGAATGCCAGCCACATTCTTTCCAAACTAACACATAACATATTCTGAGCTATATGCTATTATAGAATCATCCAATATTCTTAAAACCTTTGAAGGTGGTAAACCCCTCAAATTATAACATTTTTGAAGTATTAAAAGAAAGACAGATTCGTAAGGCTGTCAAAAATATTTTGTCTCTGAAAACTCCTCTTGAAAGAGACCCCAACTTGAGTAGACAGAGCTCCAAGTCTGCTTAGAATTAAGTGAGACAGCGTCCACTTCTGCCTCCCTCCCGTCCCCAACCTCACTGTTAGAGACCATGAAAAGAGAAAAAGCACTGGAAATTTGTCCCTCAAAGGGTAAAGAGGAACCCTGCCAACTGCAAACAGGCCACTGGGTATGCCATGGACTCAGCTAACCCCATTCGGGGTCACTGGAGGCCAGGAAAGAGTCTCCTCCACCACAGAGAACCACAAGAAAAAGAAATCCTCTTTTAATCCTTCAAACTGAGTATCCTTTCCTTCAAGATAAACCAAAAGGATGTGGAGTGTTTCCTCTGACCCTCAAATCCCTTAGCCAAAGTGGGGTATCTGTACTCACAACTCCTTACATACTGTTTGCTCCACCTCCCGATCCTGAATTTATGGCTGAGGAAAATGTCTCAACTAATGTTCTAGAAATATATTACCTGGTTGAGAATCAACTCTATACCCCTTTTTTTTAATCTGGTAGTGAGGCTATAGGCGTGGCTGGGGGCGGGGTGGGTGGATAATGTGAAATAACTTCTTGTGCCCTGTGAGTACAAGCCTGTTGCAAATAACTTCTAATGGCCAAACTCCGAATTTTACATTAAAAAGAAAACTGACAAAATTATCCTACCCCACCTAATTTTTCTATAATATCTGGGGAAGAAATAAATGTTAGCCCCTTAAAAAAAAAAACAAATGCCCTAAATTAAATGTATCCTTGGTCCTATCTACTCTTGGTAGGGCTTTAAATGCTAAGACAGTGTCATAGTTTCTTCATAATTCTGACAAATGAAGTATCTTTAAGACGCCAACAAATACATTATATAAGCATTAAGTAAAACAGTCAATCTATCTTATACTTTAAAAAAAAATTCCTAATCTACTTCATTCTTGACTGCTAGAAAACAAGAGAAGCAATTAAGAGATTTAAAAAATTTTAACTTTTACCCAGGTTTTGTGGATTTTCTTACCTACTCTGAAATGGACACTTAAGAGAAAGAGGTAACCAAAGGAAATTCACTAGTAATTTCCAACATTTCATTTATCTTCTGCTTACATTTGGTATATGCAATTCTAGACTGCTCTGCCAAAGCGTTACAGGTGCACCATGATATTGATTCCCTCAGCCCTCAGGCGGCCAGGTGAGCCTGGAGGAGCGCGAGCACCCTCCTCCTTCATTCATCTCAGTAAAGAATTTTCTGTGTAGTGACACAAAAAAGGTTAGGAAATCCTGCACTAAGGGATAACGTACATTTACAGGAGAAAATTAGTACTATTTCAAATAGTCAGCGGTGAGTGAAAGTAACTACATTCTGTAGAAGGCATGGCTTCCTACTAATCCTATACAGACACAAAGCAGTGTCAGGCTTCAGCTGCAAGCTAAACAAAACCCATGTTTTCAACAATTCTAGTAACTTTAGTATCCAAACTCTGCACAGTTGAATATAAATTCCAAGATAATGATAGTAACAATACCAATAAATTAAATACTTACATGCCATGGACCTGAAATGCTTACATACATTATTTCATACAATTCCCATTAAAACCTACTGGATTAGATATTAACATCTCTACGGAAAGAAAATTAAGTATTATGGAAGTTAAGTAGGGGGCCACAGCCACCTGCGAATGTTTCAGATTTCAGAATTTTTTGTATTTTAGAAAATCAATACAGTGCATATACCATATATTTTGTAACATTTCCAGAGAAGGTCTACCGCCGGACTCCCTAAATCAAATACATTACCATTTTTGCAGCAACGTGTATGCAGTCATACTAAACGGGATAAACAAAGGCTATAAATAATTTTTCATCCATTCAGGTCTCATTTTGCCACCAAATAGGTTATAAACAACTAGCAGTTTCCAAAGCTTTTTGGGTTTCAGAGTTAGGGGGGTGTATATGTGTGTTATGCTCAGGATCACACAGGGAGGTGGTATGATACAATATTTAATATGGGCTTTGGCATTTTACGGAACTCAGTTTAGATCCTAGCTTCATCACTTACTACTATGTAGGCTTGTGTTTCTAGAAGTGGCTCCATGGATTCTTCTGTGGATTAAAAGAGATAAGGAATATCCATGTACTTAGAGCATCTGGCTCATAGTAAACACTAAATAAATGCTTGCTACTAATAACACAGCTTATTAAGACGAATGAAAGAGAGTGGGATTCAAATCCTTGTTAGCCTACCTACAAAATATGTTTCTATGTCAAGGGCATCACTACCCCTATCAAACAGTAAATTGAAACTTTCAACATAAATATAAACACATACCAAACTGTCCAAATGTTCTGCAGTTATTCACACAAAATTGTATCACTGATTTTTATAATGTTAGATAAAATAGTTACAGAAACAAGAGGTCTTTATTTATCACTGATATAAAGGTAATGTTTTTCATGATGCTTGTTACTTCATGTCTTTTTGATAAATGTTATCATTGATTAAATTTTCCCAGTTAATTGCCTGTTCTTAAAAATAACTAAGTTATCTCCAGTTTTCCTGCAGTCTCCTTTGGGTATAGGCTTTTTATGTCTAATCATAGATTAGAAAACACACACACACAAAAAAAATAGCATTCCTGTAAAAAAAAAAGAACAATTTAAAAAAGAAATTTATTTTTTTGAAGTCCTATATTAAGAGTAAGAAAATATCTTTACAACATCTTTAGAATGTCTATTTCAAGAAGGAAAAATAAAAGCTAATTATTAACAATATATTTCTTTTTTGAGGGCAATCTTTTCTAGTCAATATATAAGTTTTCTAGTCAATATATACAAGATGAGGATCAACCAAATAGAGCTTGTCAGTGAAGAGAGAACAGAACTAACTGAAAGAAATGCTGGTCTATAAATGACATTAAAAAGCTATTCGAAAACATTTTCTAATCTTTGTCAGTGATATAAAAGCAGTAATACTGTCCATAGTGCTTGTCACGTTAGAGTATTTTTCATTTCTGAGAGGTATAAAGATAATCCTTGGGGCGCCTGGGTGGCTCAGTCAGTTAAATGTCCAACTCTTGATTTCAGCTTAGGTCATGATATCAGGGTCCTGAGATCGAGCCCTGAGTCGGGCTCCCTCCTCAGCCGGGAGTCTACTTGGGATTCTCTCTATCCCTCTCCTTCTGTCCCTCCCCGACTCTCACTCTCTCTCTAAAATAATAAATAAATCTAAAAAAAAAAGATATCAGACAGAGAATCAGTGATGCCTAGATGAATGTGAATTCTAGGCTGCAAGGATATGAGGAGAATCCTTCTAAAAATCCCCATTTTCTTTCCTGAGGGCATTTTCCAATTCTGTGTAAGACTGGCCACTTGGCTCATGCAGGATTCTACTTGGGAAAAGAGAAATAAGTGAAGTTTGAGCTGTTCCCCAGGGCTTTGTAAAACAGACTGGAACTGAAGAGCCCCAAACATGACTGGTTTTCATTCTGGGGTTATTTATGGGGAAGTTGGGGAGTCAGAATCAGGTCTCTAAAAAGCACAGTAAAATCCCCCATAATCTCATAGTGTTTAGGAGACAAAGTCCCACTAGAGGGAGGAAGTGTGTTTTAAACGCACAACCAATCTCCCTTTTAAAACACCTGCCAGATTTTGCTGCAAGGTTAGAGTTACCAAGCTAAGCTCAAAATTTCTGAAGAGTACAAATGACTCTTCAGCAGATGTGGAAGCTGATTCACCAAGTTCCCAATCAAAAGCCTTGAAGGTTATGCCTAAGAAAAAGGAACAAATCAGAGCTGGACTAAATCTTAACAAAAACTGCAGCCCAGCCCTGGTCTAGCTAAATCATGACTGGATTAAAATGATAAATCCCTGAACCTCTCTGCCTAAAACAAAAAAAGAGGAAATTCTTTCTGATGGATGACTGCAGTTGGAGCATCTATGTAAGAGTTGTCCTCCCAAGATTTGTTGGAACTTGTTAAGTAGAATCCCCGGGAATCTTGGAGTGAATTAGTAAAATATAAAAAAGATTTCAGAATCCCATAGTTATAATCCCTTAGTACAGATCTATGTAACAATATAGTTT